GTTTTCGATAAAAAAAAGGAGGAATTTTTATTAAAATTAGATTCATGAAAGCATATGATATGTTGGATTGGGATTTTATTATAGAGGTGAAGGCAAAAAAGTTTGGTGATAAATGGATAAAATGGATCATTTGTGTCTAAATGGAGCATTCTGCCATTAATGTTATGGTAAGCCTGGAAGGTGGATTATGTCCAAAAGAAAGGTGTTCGTCAAGGAGACCTCTGTCACTCTTCTTTGTCTGACAGCTGATTCTTTTACCAGAAATGTTGAATTGCAATTGAATTCAACTTATTGAAGGTTTAGTCCTTCTAATATGAACTCACAAATTTGCTGCTTACAGTATGCAGATGATACACTGATATTTTGTAAAAATAAAAGGAACATCTGACAAGTTTTAAAGCTGATTTTAATACTGTTTGACTTGCTCAGTGTTTAAAAATCAGTTTTAACAAGAGTTTTCTATAGCTCTTGAGAATAATGAATTCTTTACAACAAAGCTTGGCTACTATGTTGAATTGTAAAAGTGGGTTTCCCCATTACTTATTTGGGGATTCTTTGAGGCCTGGAAAATTAACAAAAGATGATTGGTCTCCTTTGATTGAAAAAATTGAGAGAAGGCTGGCTTTGTGGAAAGGCAAAACTTTGTCTAGAGGGGGGTAGACTGGTTTAAATAATTTAGTTCTATCTTCGATGCTAATTTCTGGTTATCCTTTTTCTTATTCCCTTTCATGGTTAATCAGAAATAATTTCCTGGGCTGCAGCCACTCCTTCCAGTAAAAATCTGTTTTTGATAAAACCAGATTAGACAGGATCAATAAGCCATTCCAATTTAGCATTTAATTTATTTGTCAAAACTTTGGTAATCACTTTGAAAATAACATTTAGAAGACTGATAGGTCTATAGTCATTAACTGTGACAGCCCCATTCTTTTTTGGAATAAGCACAATATGGGCATAATCGAGTCTATTAATTTCCAACTTACTCTCATAAAACTCCTCAAACAACTTCATAATGTCTGTTTTCACCGTATCCCAAAAAACTTGAAAGAATACAGCAGGAAATCCATCTGGGCCAGGGGATTTATCTCCATTCATATCAAATACTGCTTTATAGACTTCCTCTTCAGTAAAAGGAGTTTCAATATCATTAGGGCTCCAATCCACCATAGGGAAAAGTTTATTCCACTCTAGCTGACATCTATAAGGCTCTCTCTGTCCAAAAATCTTTTCATAATGATTTGAAAAAACTTGAGCTATTCCTTCTTCAGAACTCACCACCACATTATCTACATCAATTGACACAATCAAATTATTCCTTTTTCTACCATTAGCAATTTTATGGAAATAAGCAGTATTATTATCCCCTTCTTTTAACCAATGTGCTTTGGATCTTTGTTTCCATATTTGTTCCTCTTGTTTCAAAATCTCATTCAATTGCATGGAAAGATCATTTTTTTAATCAATTCATCATCCTCCAAATCTCTATTTTCCTCTAAGACTTCCAATTCTAAAAGACTGTCCAACAAGTCTTTCTTCTTTTGTTTAACACTATAAAAACTGGAATGAATCCACTGTTTGATGCATTTTCTCATGAATCTCAGCTTACCAACAATATTCTTAGCAGCAGATAAACTTTTTGGTGCACATTTCCACCATAAAGGAACTCCCTTCATAAACTCCTCAGATTCTAACCAAATTTTTTCAAATCTGAACCTTTTAACAAAATTTTGATTATCTCCACAATCAAAACTAATTGGAGCATGATCAGATAATTGACTGCACAGACCTTGTTGTCTGGAAAAAGGAAAGGCATCTTCCCATTCAGAGTTGAAAAAAACTCTGTCCAACCTAGCCATAGAAGGCAACCTTCTTTTATTAGTCCAAGTAAACTGTCTCCCATGTAAAGGACTATCAATCAGCTCTAATTCATTAATAATCTCATTAAATTCCTCCATTTCTTTCCTATTAATAGTTTTACCTTTTCTTTCAGCAGCATTAGTAGTAACATTAAAATCACCCACCACAACCCAAGGTCCTGAGAAGATATTTTTGATATTCCTGAGCTCCTGCCAAAAAAGAGCTCTCTCACTGTTACTATTTGGACCATAAACAGAAGAAATGTTCCAAACAAAACCATTTCTCTTATTTTGAAGGACCACAGTCAAAACAAAAATTCCAGATTGTTCCTGCAACATCTTCCATTTATTGCTGTTCCAACCAATTAAAATCCCACCAGAAGCACCAATAGAGGGTAAACAAACCCACTCAAAAACATTGCCTCCCAGGCTATTTAAAATTTTATCATCAACACAACTCAATTTTGTTTCCTGTAAACAAATTATATCAAATTTGTTTAACTGGCAAAAGTCTTTAACACCAAATCTTTTGGTACTCAAACCAAGTCCTCTTACATTCCATGTAATCAACATATGTAATATAAACAAACTCCTCAATCACAAATAGCCAAAGACTACTCAAAAGTAGCCCTCTCTTGCTCCATTTGCCTCACTTTTTTTAAAGGATCAAAATCCCCTTGAGGTTCAAGATTAATGGCACAATTTGCAGCAAATTTTTTTAACTGCTTATCAGAACAGACATCAAAAAGAATAGGAACAAAAGAAGAACCCAAGGAAGAAGAACTTTCACCTGAAGAAGCTCCATGAGAACTTTTGTCAGAGTCTTTCAACGCAGCTCTTGATGTAGCTCTGTCCAAAGCAGTCATAGGTTCATAATCTACAAACCTGGAGCATCTTCTAACATAAGCAACTTTAGAGCTAAGACTATGCTCTGCAGGAGGTAAGGAATTCAAAGGTTGAATAATTGGAAAATCTTCTTCTCTTTCTATTCCCTCCTCATTGTTGTAAAATACTGATAACCAATTTCCCCCATCAAAATTTTCACTAACCAAAAGAGCTTTATTGTTAGACTCTTCTACTGCAACATCTTCTTTTACCTCCTGAGCTACATTGTCTTCAGATATGATAGGAGACAAAGAGGTATTCACTTCCAACTCAGCATTCTTAATATTATCTTCTTTCATAGCTTGATCCATCAGAAATTCATTATCAGGTTTCTTCACTTGATCTGGAACTTGCTCAACTTCACTATCTTTTGAAGATTTATTTTCCCAACTACCCCACACTGGCTTTTTGTTTTGATAAAAAGATTTGGCTTCATTCCACAACCTGGCAGCTGGAGAATCCCATGGATTATTCCGTAGATCTTGTCTAACAGTCCATGAATTATTATCAGAAGAACCAGATCCACTATCCTTTCTCCCTTTAAACCATTTATCCTGATAAGAACTCTGATTATTATCAACTATATGATCCACTTTCTGTTTTTTCTTATCAGCTTCAACACTTTCACCCATAATCGACATAATAGAAACATCAACATTATACTGATTTTTCCCCACAAAAATCTTCAAAACTTTAGGAATATCAATATATTCTAGACATTTGACCAACACAACAGCATCCACAAATTCTGAAGCAGCATTTGTCAGTGGATCAAGATCAACTAAATCAGCAAAAGGTTTCACCATCAACTCAAAGGATTCCCTATTCCATAAATGAGGAGGAACATGTTTCAATTTAATCCATACCTGAGCAATTCTCTTTTCCACCACATTCCCTTCCCAAGCATTCCATCTTCTAAACTTGATTTTACAAGATCTTAGAGATATAACTCCCATTTTTATTAGATCCTCCATTTGCCTCCACGGTTGAATTTTAACTAAAACTTCTCCATTAGTAAAAAGCCTCACATCCCAATGCTTATTTAAAGGAAAATAAGCTCTCAAATCTAGTTCCAATCTTTCTAACGATACATTACCCCCTTCCACAAAAGAAATTATAGCAAAATTTCTAAATTTTTGGAACCCAGAATTCACCTCTCCTTCAAAACGAAGAACAGCAGAAGAAAATCGGGGGCGATCACCTGAAATTTTCAGTTCAGCCTCCAAATCCCCAAAATCTCTAGGTCCATGATCTTGACATTGAAACACATGTTCCTGTTCTTCATTAACTGATGAAAGAGGTCTTTTCTCCCTACGCCATTGCCAAGGATTCAACCTACCAGCACCCCCACCCATATTAGGGTTTTGACCAAAACGTCCTCCACCACCACGATTTCCAAAATTACCTTCAGATCTACCACCCAAATGACCACGACCTCCAAACCCAGAACCTCTACCTCCATTACGACGACCTCCACCTTCAGATCGAGAACAATTCTTAGCTTCATGACCAACTCCTTGACATCTGAAACATACAATCGGATCTCTACAATCTTTTGCCATATGTTTCGATCCTCCACAACGAAAACACAAACTATTTCGTCGAATAAAATCAGCAGAAAGATGACTAAGAGGAGCAGATTTTTTGGTCTGAGGCGATCTAGGGTTCCGTTTAACAACGCTAACACAGTCTCCTTTATTAACATCCACCTTTAACTCTTCTAGGGATCTGCAAGATGGGTCCAATCCAACCGTAGATTTTAACCCTAACCCAACCCCTTATTTATGACTCCTTTAAAATGGAAAACTACACTATCACCGTTAACTAAACAAACATATATAGACATTATTTGTCGAACACATGCCCATGTTTTCACAACAACAACCATTTTAGAACACTAGCATATGATATGAATCATTATAAGGATACAAGAGATAATAATTTTCAATAATGACCTGTACAAAACAAAGAATCTAATTTGCTGATCAGAGAGTTTTCACTACTTGAGGAAGTGGGTAAGAAGAAAGAAACAAAACCAGGGAGTACTCAGTTTCAGCATTCTAGTTGTTTTGGCTCAGGATGTAGAATTTCATTGCATTATGAGATATCTAAGGGTTCATCAACGGTAACATTCAAGCGTGTTGCAATAGCTTTGGACTGACATTGGCCCCATAAAAAGGTGAAATACAATCAAATGATTTGCAAAAACTATTTGGAAAGAAGGGTGGTGAATAGATCGAGTTTCTTAGTATGGAAATTTTTCCTTTTATTTTTTAAATAAGACTACATTTTTTTTCTTTCGTATTGCCACTACCAACTAGCCTTTTTCAAATGCTTTTAACAACTATTAATTTTTTTAGGATAATCTTATATTGAAAATTTAAACAATATTAATAAATTCCATATTTAACAATTAATTTAGAATTTTGGATAATTTGCAAACATATAATTTCCATTTGGTGACTTTAAAGAAGTGGCATCAAAGTCAAGTTGTGACCAGCAATTGAGCAAACTCCAAATAAAGGAGGAAATTATTGGATTTGGATCCTCTCCACCGTAAAAAAATAGTGAAGAAAACACTACTTTTAATTTTAAAAGTTGATTTATTAATACGCGGTTGTGATTTGTCTTGTTGAGAGTAAAGCAGGCATGAGGATCCAAATCCATAATTGTTAAGGTTAAAATACAAATTTGGGATCAATTTTCTAAGTCTTCTAAACTCCACACATCCAAATATATATGACAAATTTTAGAAGAGTTTCCAGATATTTTACACAAGTTAATTTGAAATTTCCAATATTTGTATGCTCACATTTTCAACTTTTTTTCTAGGAAGAAAATAGAGATGCGAGGTATCAATCATCATCCCGCTTACAAGCTAAACGAACTCTCTACAATTTGTGCTACAACCACTGCATTATTTTCTTTTGTTATTCTAATCAATGATTGTTTCGTTCACTATAAGCGTAGTTGCTATAAATGTAGCAGCAGAAAATGTTGCATGTTATATATATATTGCAGGAAATTTTCTAGTTAGAATAGTAAAAGATAAACGGTACTGTAAATTACATAATATTGAAAAGATGAATAATATAAATTAACAATAACTATTTATATTGTGTAACAACTAAAAAGCGAATAGTTAATTACGTCGTGCGTATCCCTAATCCCTTATAGCCAGCTGGTACAGTTAAAATTTTCTAGTTAGAATAGTAAAAGATTGTACAGCAAAACAACAAAACAATATAATAACAACAAAACAAAACAATATAATAACTACTGAGCTACCCCCCAACTTTCAAAACTACCTCCATCAAACAAAAATGAGATAAAACCAAAGTCACAAGAAATCCGTCTCATAACTCTCCTCCAATCCCATATTTAATGTTGTATTCAATGCTCACCCCACCCCTATTCAATGCCACATGACATCCTACATGAAGCTCTGGCTCCATCACCTCCCATTCAAATCCTTGAATGCATCCTGCCACACAAATCCTAGGAATTTAAATTTAAATTTCTACATCTCCTTCCATTAAAATTGAAAAGCCAAGCCAAATGGTTAAGAGTTCTAAACATCTAGTGTTCAAATCTCTGTTCAAGCCAAGAAACCCTAGACCCTTCTCCTCTCAATGGCCTTGGCCATCTTGTAGTCAACCGAAGACCCCCTCTTTTCGACTGACCGTAGAGCAAAACTTAGTCCCTCAAGACTCAAGTGACTCATGCATTACAAATTCATCCTCTACAGGGTCGGAGAGCTTCTCTATAGCCTCAGATTCCTCAGTTGAGGCTGCAATGCAAGCAATGAGCTCCAATAGGCTTCTCTTCGATGGCGTAAGCGATAGTAGCTCATCGATAGTGGGCAATAAAGAAGTTAAGGTGCCATTTGAAGGGAGCGTTGCAGTTGAAGTTGAGTCCAAGGATCTCTACAGAGATTTTCTTGCGTCAATGAAGGAGATCGTGGAGGCTAATGCAGAGGTGAAGAAGGATTTGGTTTGGTTTGAGGAGATGCTTGAGTGGTATTTGAGGATGAACAGGAAGTCGACACATGAGTTTATTATTGGGGCTTATTGGGATTTGCTTCTCGAGATGATGGCGTCTTCTTATTGTAGTACAAGCGCTACACTTTCTTCATGCTCTTCTTCTACTTGTTCTTCTTTGTCCTCTTATTTTTCTTGCCCTTGTGAGATTCAAGATGTTGTGAAGCAGGAGGAAGAAAAGATCAAGTAGTTAAAATCTTTGTGTATATGATCCTTGATCATTTATATTTTATCTTTAGTAGTTACTTTTGTTTGGATGCTCTATATGTAACTATTTTGTTAAGATCGATGCGCATGTAGAAGTTACTTTCATTCCATAAATATGTTAAATTAGTAACATAATGCTAACAAGACCAGGGTTAAATTAAAAAGAAAAGAAATCTGTTCTTTTTTTACATTGCCTTGTGCTTGTCCCTGATCTATAGAATTAATACCACATCATTTCAAGTTATAGATCTAGGATTACAACTAGTATAATAATTTTATCAGTCTATTAATTTACTATATATAGCGCTATCTCCGCGTTGGATGGATGAGTACATATATCATTTTCAAATTTTATCAGGCTATTAATTTACTATAGCGCTATCTCTGCGTTGGATGGATGTGTACATATAGTATTTTCAGTTGGGGGCCGGGTTAAAATAGGGTAGTTCATAACTTGTCTCTAGCTATTAATTTTTCAAAATTAAATAAATGAATCATTTGTCTCTAGCTTGGTAGCATGTGACCGAAATTAGTTGTAGCAAGTGAGCAAGAGACGCATTAATGAAACATGATTCTGAGATCATAAGACATATATGGTCTTTTTTTTTTTTTTTTTTTTTTTTCAATGAAGAAATATATTCATTTACCAAATGGAAAGTATTTGTACATCAGATATTCAGTATATGAACTGAAAAATCAATTACGAAAACAACTAGAAAGAATAAAACAAAAAACTGCTAAAGAATTTACAGTTGATTAAAGTGATATAAGCCATTCCTTTTGTTCCACTGGATATGAACCATTAAGTATGATGGTCATGATATCAATCTTGATCTCCTTTATGATCTGCTCTATACTTTTTGTTTAAGACATATATGGTCTGTTATCTAGGGAAACAATTGTGAGGCCAAAACTTTGCCTGACATATGGCAATCTAGTTGAATAGGCACAGCAAGTTGGCTAGTTGATAAATGGATATACTAGATAACGATACCTGTATTCTCATTTTATTTATTTTCAATTAACTACCTGAGTCAATTTTCATATCAACATCCATGAGTCTATTAATTTGATGTGTTAATTGTATATTTGCATGCTTGTACAAATATAGATGCATGAATGTCATCTTGGGAAGTATGATTTACATAGAGAATACATAGCATCTTATATCATACTCCCTTTATAGATGCATGAATGTCATCTTGGGAAGTATGATTTACATAGAGAATACATAGCATCTTATATCATACTCCCTTTAAAAGCAACAACTAGAAAGAATAAAACAAAAAACTGCTAAAGAATTTACAGTTGATTAAAGTGATATAAGCCATTCCTTTTGTTCCACTGGATATGAACCATTAAGTATGATGGTCATGATATCAATCTTGATCTCCTTTATGATCTGCTCTATACTTTTTGTTTAAGACATATATGGTCTGTTATCTAGGGAAACAATTGTGAGGCCAAAACTTTGCCTGACATATGGCAATCTAGTTGAATAGGCACAGCAAGTTGGCTAGTTGATAAATGGATATACTAGATAACGATACCTGTATTCTCATTTTATTTATTTTCAATTAACTACCTGAGTCAATTTTCATATCAACATCCATGAGTCTATTAATTTGATGTGTTAATTGTATATTTGCATGCTTGTACAAATATAGATGCATGAATGTCATCTTGGGAAGTATGATTTACATAGAGAATACATAGCATCTTATATCATACTCCCTTTATAGATGCATGAATGTCATCTTGGGAAGTATGATTTACATAGAGAATACATAGCATCTTATATCATACTCCCTTTAAAAGCACGAGTTCGAAAAAATCTTTTAGTAGACAAAAATATCATTGGAATTCAAATACTAATCTATTAAGTAAGAGTAAGTTGATTAATTGATGAATTCTTATTGAATATACATAGTATGAAGATAATGATATAGTTTAAATTAAAATGTAAACTTGAATGAAAGAGTAACTTAGGTAAATTAGATGATTTATTAAATGCCAAATTTACCCCCTTGCTCTTATATGTTATCAATGATCAAACTACAAACAATTATTCACGTGCTACATGATTAATTATGTCAAACTGAGAAAAATTATTCACAAGCTATCTGAGTAATAATTACACACAACGTGGCGATCTCTGACCGAATAAAATTCAAGTAGTTCACGGTACGCTTAAGTTAATTAGATGATTTATTAAATGTCAAATTTACTCAATCGCTCTTATATGTGATCAATGATCAAACTGTAAATAATTATTCACGTACTACATGATTAATAATGTCAATCTGCAAACAATTATTCACATGCTATATGATTACTAATTACACACAAAGTGCTGACCTCTCACCGACTAAAATTAAAGTAGTTCAAAGTACTACATAGTTAGTTTCAAAATTTAATTATACTATTATTATTTAAATAAAACTCTATTTATAATTGTTATCCTCTCACATGTAACATCATATACCAATATATATAAGCTAAGAAATTATAATAATTTCTATAGCAATTTTATCTTCTTCTATAGGCATGTGCCTTTGTTATTAGATTAGATTAGATTATTTTAAAGTAATTAATTATATTATATATTTAATCTTTTTTCAGATTAAAAATTATAATAATTTTCACAGTACTTTTATCTCCTTCAATAAGTATGTGTCTTTGTTATTTTCTTCTTATTAGAATAGATTAGATTGTTTAAGAATTATAAATTATAAAATTACAACAACTTTCATAGTACTTTCATCTATTTTCTTATTATTATATTAGATTAGATTATTTTAAAATAGTTAATTATATTGTATGTTTGATTCCTTTTCAAATCACAAAGGTTAATTGTACTATTATTATTTAAATAGATATTGTTTGTATAAAAGTCAAAGAGAATCTCAAACGTATCTTTGATTGCAATGCCAATTATAATACTTATATATGGGTTTTGGTTAAAATAAATTTTATGTATGAGGTTAACTTATATGATCCTACTTTAATCGGATTAGATAATTTAATATATGTTCTTTACACCCAAACTCTTTCATAAAACCAAGAGATTTTCAAAATTAATCTTTGGGGTTGCTTGTATTAAAAAATTATGTTAGAGGGCCTATACAGTCTGTTTTATAGTTTAAAATTATCAACATATTTTGTCTTTTTTGCATATCCGTTATGTGTAATAATATAATTTAATTGATTCAAGTATATCCTAATATATTTCTGGACTCTTATCTTGTCTTTTGCTCATTATCATATACAAACCTAGCGGTTCTTATTTAATTCCTTTCTTTTTCTTTTTTGTCTCTTGACATTGTATTTTGTTCTTCATTGTGTACAAACTCATTTCATGGATTAGGGTTATGGTATTTTAAGGGGGAGCAGAAGACAAATGAATTGATTTTGGTGTTGGACTTTATTATTTGAAGAAATTATTTTCAAGAAATTTAGCTCCAACATGGTATCATAATTGATATAGATGATTAAGACGCTACTCTAGAATTGCCCAATAAAAAATAAAGGTGGAGAAAGATTGATCTCGACTCAATTAAAATATGAAACAAAAAGAATAAATGATAATATTTTTTGAACATTTTATACTATAATTTTTGAGTAAAATTAGGAATTTTTAGAATGAATTTTCATGCTAAATTTTTATTATTTTTGTATGCTTATGTGATTGCTTTTATCACATAAAAATATACTATAGTTACCATTAATCTTTAGTTTTATCTTTTTATTTTTTTAAATCTATCAAATAATGTAGGCTAAGATCTCATATTATATCATGTTTATCATACTTCTTTTTTTATGTTTGCTTTTGAGATTGTTTATTATAAAACATAAGCTTATAATGTTGAAAAGTGCAGTATAATTCTATTTTTAATGCAATAAGAAATATTATTTTTTTATTGCTAGAACTATAGTTCATAATGATATTGTTATTCATCCTTGACTCCATACTATAGCATTATTTTTTTATTGCTAGAACTATAGTTCATAATGATATTGTTATTCATCCTTGACTCCATACTATAGCTTGGGATTAGTAGAGTTTAGAATATGATTCATAATGATATTGTTATTCATCCTTGACTCCATACTATAGCTTGGGATTAGTAGAGTTTAGAATATGATATGTAGTATCAATTTAACTTATTTTATTTTACTATTCTGCTTGAAGATATTATTATGTCAACTGATATCTTTTTCTATGGAAATCAATTATAATATCCCAGTTAAATATATTGATCACAGTTTTGCCTAAAAATTTATTACATCAGTTTTTTTATAATGTTTAAATAAAAATTATAGCAAATCTAATAATTAAAATGAATCTGACTTATTTATAGTAAAAAAATAAAAAATAAATTATTTTGATATTTAACCACGTGCATTGCACGTGCATAAAAACTAGTAGAGTTAAAAGGGTAAGAGTACTTTAAAGATTTATGTCTTATGGACTTAACCCCGTCATATAAATACATATATCCGTCAATGTTGAAAATAATGATAATACATAAAGTAACTCTCTATCGATCTCTTGTTAAGTTTAAAAAATGCAAAAACCATACCGCATAATGTATGTTATTTTGCTTATTATTATTTTTATGTTTCATAAATATAAAATATTCATTATAACTTTAATAATTAGAATTGTCAAACTTTTGAAAACATAACATCTCAATTATGAACAAAATATTTTCTTACTATTTAATTTAAAAAGTATAAAATATAATCATAATAATTTCAAGAATTAGGAATAAAATATCATAATACAAAAATATTTTAATAAAAAATTTTTATTTAATACAACCCATATAGATTTACAAGGGAGTATCACAGTCAAATACTCAAATATATACTCATAAATTTATAGCTCGTTTATAATTAAATTCATTTTAATAGTCATATTCGTAATTTCACAATCACATAACGAGGTTACCACAACAAGATATGAAGGCTTAACAAGTT